ACCTCTGCGCAGCTTTCACACGTTGTTCGGTAGCTCGATGGGGATACACTTGTCCTAAGGTGGTGACAGCCACTTGGGCCAAGGTAAGTTGTGCCTCACATGGCCCCTATCTTGTCGTAGGGGTTCGCGAGAGGTGTAACATCACTTGCTGGACCATCAAGATCTTAGAGAAGCGTACAGGGTTCATAGAATGACCAATAGGGCCAAGGTACAACCCTGCTAGGTCCAGTTTGATCTAGGCTTTAGTCTACGACTCTACAATGGCCCCTATCTTGTCGTAGGGGTTCGCGAGAGGTGTAACATCACTTGCTGGACCATCAAGATCTTAGAGAAGCGTACAGGGTTCATAGAATGACCAATAGGGCCTAGGTACAACCCTGCTAGGTCCAGTCTGATCTAGGCTTTAGTGTACGACTCTACAAAGTAGTGGAATCGTAAGGCATGCAGTCCTAAACAACAACGGGTCATATACTGATAGGCAAGTTTAGAGTCTTCAGACCCACTTGTGTGGGAAAAGACCCAGGAAACGTCTGTTTTCTGGTCCTGACCTCTGCTCTTGTAACTGGACCAAGGCTACTAGGAGAGAAACTTCAGCCAAGCACCAAGTTCACACGGTATACATGTCCAAAGAAGAGCACTTACCAGATGCTGATTCTTCGGTGCTTTTGAATCCATCAAAGTCTATTATCGGACAAGCCCCATTATTGACATCTAACATCAGCATGGCTTTAGCTGGCAACCACCACATATTCCCAGTACCAATGTGGCAAGCCATGGTCGTGATGTGAATGAGCCAACAACTGCGATTCCCTGTATTATGGTCACAGGTCACAATGTGAACGAGGGTTACTGGACATCAGGAAGCCTGTGGCCAGACGAACTGTCACTTCCAAATTTGAAGCATATTGCTGAGTGTAACGAAGTAATACAAACTGATTAACACTAAGATGAGAGCTAAGAGAGAGAAAACTCCTGCTGAGGTGAGAAAAATTTTGGGAGGAGAATTACACTTTGGCATTGGTGGATGATGAGTGCTATGCTAAAATAGAACCGGTTGGGCCGTGCTATGAGGTCCCCTGCCCGAGGGGATTGGAGAGCCACAAAACTTTGTTAGCAAGATGCTTGGATGTGTGGGATTGTGAACTCCCATGATACTCCGGCTAATTTTTGATGCATCAGTGATATGATGATAACGTTACCCTGCATTCAATTTTTCAGGACCCTGCAGGTCCTTGCACTACCATGACAAATTGATTATTAGGAACCTGCTGGTCCTTACTCTACCATTTGGGATTCAGTGGAGGGGGAAAGAGAAGAGGATGGTGAATGTCCTACAGTCCAAAACATCATTGGTGGAAGAAACAGGAGGGTCATATCATATTTCAACGCTGATATGCTAAGGACTGTGTAATTAGTCAAAGGCTGCAGCCAGAGACAATACTCTTGGCCTGGAGGGAAGGAAGCGTCGTGTGCATATTTGCTGCCAGAGGAAAGGAAACTGGCTTGACAGCAATACTCCGCATTGAAGGAAAAGGATCAGGCCCAGGATGAATGACAGCTACCCCTGTGGAAATAAGTCAGCGGGACTTTGAGGCTGAAGATCAAACAGCTCTGCATCCTTTCATGCACTGGAACCGCAGCCTGCTCTCAATCCAGTCAGTGGTCAAAGTCAGTCCCTTCCCTACATCTGGGTGAATCGCTTCTATTCAACACGGTCAGAGCACCTGAGTCTCAGAGGATATGCAGAAGAGCAAGACTTTCTAATAGTCAATATTCCTGATTAAGGAGTAATCAAGGCTGCTCAGGGTTCCTTCGACCAAACGGGAGGAACCATGGAGTGGGTGCACGTATATTTTTCATTCAACTTGGGAGTGGAGAGAAGCTTCCCGGAAACGACAGCAGCAAGGACCATGAGGACATGTTCTTCAAAACAGAAGAAGAATGGTTGATGCAAGAACAAACACTGCCTATCATGGGAGGGTGTTAAAATTTGTCGAGCGGTGACAGATGAGCCAAGAAAGCATGGAGTGGGTGCATGTATGTTCTTCATTCAACTTGCCGGTCAATTGGGAGTGGACTGAAGCTCCCCGGAATGGACAGTAGCAAGGACCACGAGGACCTGTTCTTCAAAACAGAAAAAGAATGGTTGATGCAAGAACAAACACTGCCGATCATGGGAGGGTGTTAAAATTTGTGGAGCGGTGCCAGATGACCAAGATCCCTGTCACAGGGAGTCAGAGCACAGAGAAAACATAAATGGGGAACATACAGACCAGAGTTCGGAAAATGGACCCCTCACATCACCATGTCATGGAGGGTTAGTCCAAGCAGCTACTTGTTCGGGCAGCTTAGTCAGAGGGTCAAATTGTACTGGGAAACAGAAGGAGGTATTCCTGGAGTCAAACTAAGCTCTCAAGTAACAGAAAACAAAAAAACTAAGGACAGAAGCAGGATAGCTGGCAGGGAACTTCAAGCAGTAAAGAGGGACAAAAGAAGGGACAGACAACTAGACAGGTAAAGAGGGAATGGAATGTTTCTGGGGCTCAGGACAGGTCAGAAGGGGGCTGCGGACTCAGAAGCAAACTCTGGGCTCACCGGTCGGTCAATCCTCCACAGCAGAGTAGTCAATCCTACTGGGGTGTCCTTGGCCGTAACAAAAAGCGTAAAGTAAAATTGTTATTTTCGATCTGCCTGTGGAGAACACACCAGGCTGCTGCTCCCCAGAATAGAGAGGAGCCAGGACCATAAGGAATTGTTTTCAGAAGAGGATAAAAAAAAAAAGAAAACAGTTCTCAACTTATCAACCCCTCACTAAAGAGCGGCCTCTGAGTTCCATGGTTCTACGAGTCAAAGTGGCTGTTCGGGTCATGCAACGATTGCCCAGTGTTGATGTCAATATGTCATTGACATCACTGAAACTTGGGCATCTCAGGTCATGATGTTATCTTTCAAATGGTACACGACTCGGTAGAAGGATGGATTGGAATTTAGTGTCCCCACACCCGGAATGACAGACTGTTGTCCTTGTACACCAAAAACAGGACCAAATGGGGTACTTTTGCCGGTGAGTTTGCAAGCGTGCGTGCATTGATAACCTATGATAGCTTCACCATGTGACATACCTGTACCTTTCAGAGTCACCTGGTTAAGGGCGCCTCAACAGCTCATCGCTCCCCAAGCTCACGGGACCGCATCCCGTTTCTAACTTACAAACACGTCACGTGTGGTATTGTCAGGTCCAGGCGCCAAGCTGGTTTGCCTTTATATGTGGCATTTAGCTACAAGATTAGAAGGTTGTGGTATGTAAAACCTCGATTCCGGAGCTGTCTCTATGTCACAGAATGAAATCTGTATTGTGCAGATGCATAGACCCCTTCCCGATTACTGATGAGATTGTCAGTGCTTTCCTGTTACTAGATCCTTTTCGGTTAGGCAGGTACTATTGGTCCACTGACTTCCAACAGGTACATCGAACCAGTTGGATCTCATAGACCCTGCAGTCATAACAACAACAACTAACACTTGCATGGAGAAGGGAGAGTGAAAACTCACACCAGTCCTGATTTACTGTTGACACATCACTCCAAAACTTGTAACTTCTCGTTTTAGCTCCTGTAACATGTTCAAGACTCTGCGATAATCATATGCTTTTGGTGTGTGTAGTACTTTGTACATATAGTGTTATGATCCAGGCCAATTTCGAAGTACACATTCATCAGAAAGTACAATGCCGTCCAATTGCAGAAAGATTCGCCAACCACTCTCCTCCTCCTCATCTCCTTCCCTCTTATTCAAACAAGAAATAATAATAATCATTAAATAATGTTGAATGGCTGAACCAGAATCAATGTCCAAATCCCTCTTCTACTGCAGGCATCACATGAGGTCCACCATAGCCATGGCCACCCTTCTTCCTCCTCCTCTCACGACCGAGGTTATGGCGGACTACCAGGGCACCGCCCTGCTGTGCAAAGGACAACACAAAGCAGCTATGACTGCTCTAACTCTGCCTCAAAGCTTCTTGGTGCAGTTCAACACCCGGGGCCCTTCCAGAGGCAGCGCCCACCAAGGTGATGAAGATGGTATCCACCATAGCCAGGTAAGTACATCTGGCGCTCCTCCCTCCTAGTCTTGGTCTTCTTCCTCGTCCTGACTTGCTCCTCCCCGCAGCGCTGCTCTGATGCTAGCACTGCTCCAGCCAGCGCTCCAAACTTTCACACCGACAATGAGGAGCTCTTTGCTCCTCCTGGAGATAGCCGCCTGATTGCCTCTTGCCGAGTGACTTCCTAGGTCGCGCGGCCTCCAAGCAACCAGTACCTCCTCCCTTTCGAAGGGAAACATCATTGCAGACTCTGATATTGCCCGTACAGGCCCTAGACTCAGACTGGTTGGACTGGTACCCGCCTAGACCTAGCCTACAACTACCTGGCCGCTAAAAATGCCAACTTTTGTCTTCGTCTGCTCCGCCTTGAATACCCGGCATATCTACCTCTACTGGGTGTGGTACCGGCCTACCTGCTACTCGACTGTTTTCCGCTGCAAGTGTCGCGGGCCTCTTTCCCCGCCACTTCTGCAACCCTCAATGTCACGGCCACAGGTAAGTACCGGCCCTTCGGGGGCCTTCTGAACAAGTGCCCTTGCGGGTCACACACTCAAGCCGACAAGCACTCAGACAGGCATGCAGACCAGCAAGCACGCACCCACACAGACTCAGAAAACTCAGCGACAAGTGGGAAACTCAGCAAGGCATACATTTCATGAGCAAAACTCAGAAACCAGCTGTGTCTCTCAGTCCGTGTTTGGCAGGTCATTACAAAAGCATAAAGCACGTGCAACTGACAGAGTGCAATGAATGTACACAGTGACCTCCATCACTTGGACTGCTGCCTGCATTCATGCATATACCAGACAAAAGATCCAAAAGAATTGCAGAATTAATCCACGGTGGCAACTTTCCATCCAGTCAATTGTCTGTGATGGATGGGGGAGTGTGAGCTCACCAGCATAATTCTTCGTAATTGCGTCATCAAAATCCGCAAGGCAAGATGCACCCAGCCCACGGTTAAGGTCAAATACGCCCTTCAAGCCTGCGAAAAGGGGCTGATAGTCAACCAAAGGATATCCAGGGTCCATGCAGCATTCATACATCATTAAAGGCCACATAAATCCCAATTAGGCAAACACAAGAGCACATTGGAAGTCACACACACAACGACAATCAGAATTAGGAGGCCAACACATAGCCACAAGACCGAAGAAGCACAGCACCGCATCATGCTTTAAAACTGCAACACAATCACAATTCCACTTTGCACTGCTGCCATGTGCCTTGACAATTCAAACTGAACACATGCTGTGTGGCTTCATTACCGCCTTCCGTCAAACACTTTCATCATGACATTATCAGAATGGTACAGAGAGCTTGCATACATTAATGATCAGGGTGGGGCATGGGGGAAGATAGTAGCGAAGGTCGGAAGCTGAAACCAGGTGCAAGACAAGGAGACTATAAAACAGAAGGGGACTGAAAGGTATTTGTTGTAATTGAGCACGAGATGGCGCACCTGACACAATTTTCCATACTTGTGGCGCATCACGTGCGTTTCGTGCCGCCACGTGCGCCGCACAGCGCACATGCATGCATGCGCGCGCATGTGATGCGAAACATGGTGAAAATTAGGGGGTGGGAAAAAAAAAGGGGAGGGGCGGGGTGTGGTAGCACACCCTGTCCCCCCTCGCAAAAATGCTATTCTACAAAAGAAATTTTTTGGGGGGCATCTTGCACTATCTGACCATAGTTTTAGTCACGTCCAACAACCAAAAAAAAAAAAGGGTCTATAGGCCCTCGCTCTACTACTCTCCAATTGTGGAAAACTAGAACACGGAAAGATACACCGCCATCTTTTGTGCATTTGGAGAGTAGCGGATTGTGCAGTGGCCCTGCAACAGGTATATCTGACAGTCCCGTTGCCTTCTCTTTTTTCCTCGATTTAGGGTGTACTGGCAGCGGTCCTGCAAGTGTATTTTTTATGGCCCTGGCTCCATTTCCATTCTGGGGAGCATCAGTCCGGTTCCTATTCCACCGGCAAGTCAGGAAAAATAATTACATCCGGTTCCTATTCCACCGGCAAATCATGAAAAATAATTACATCATAGGACACTCTCACGCTTCCTTCCGTCTGGCCGAAGGAACCCAGATCAACATTGATTGCTCCAAGCTCGTAGAGGATTAACTGCCAGCTTGCCCTGCTTCCACCTTTCCTCTCAGGATTACTATAAGAACCTGTCGAATAAAACATGAAAAGCAAGAAAGGTCTGATGAGCTACCACTGCTACCAATTCTGTCTAAAACCCTAAGCCCCGCATTTGAGCCACAGAGAAATCTCTGGCAATCTAGCCCCTGCTTGTCTTGTTTCTGTCCAAACTTCCAAAGCCTCAACCCTAAACCCTAGACCCTAAACAAGATAAATATTTTCCCATCTGTTCCCTGTGACACATCAGATGCCACCTGTAGCGCATGAAGTTTGGATGCTCTTTTTTTTTTTTGTGGGGAGCGTCACTCCGGTTCCTATTCCCCCGGCAAGTCAAAAATTTGATGCATCATAGAACACGCTCACGCGCACGCTTCCTTCCGTCTGGTCGAAGGAACGTTGACCAGCATTGATTGCCCCTTATAGGAGGATTGACTGTCAGCTTGCCTTTCTCTGAACTCCCTCTCAGATTCCCCTATGGAAACCTGTCAAATAGGCTTTTATCAGCTAGGAGAACTAAGGAACGAAAATGCTTCCACATTGAAATAAAGGTTGTTGTTACTCCTTATGTAGCCTGTGGATCATGTGGGCCCCCCATTGAGTAAGGTATTGAGCTTCTCCCGCTGGTTCCCGAGTTGTGCCAATTTTTCCATCGTAGGTTGGAGTCTCTTATCTCTGCTATTTCCCCCCCCACCAGCCAGACCTTGACGAATTTGGAGAAGATACTGCGCTGTCAATCTTCATCTTCAGGCATCGAGAGTCTCATCTTGTGCCATCTGCATAGGATCTCTGCCTGGATCAGGGTCCTTGTCTCCACCCAAACCATTTCTCTCGGAGTTGATAGTCCCTCGATGGTTCTGCTGCATCTCTCCTTCCAGATCGACCAGAGCGTCACTTTTCTGATCATGCCATACCATGCCTTCTCAGCGTTGTTGAAATCAGTAGGAATGTTAGTCCAGAAAAGAAGTTGGATGGGATGTTCAGGGAGGGGTGATGTGAAAAGGGAGTTCCAGAGGTCCGAGGCCCTGGCCCAATATTCCGTAGCTTCCTTGCAGCGAATTAGGCAGTGAATTATATCTTCTGACTCGTTATCCGAACAGACTGTGCATAGGTCCAAACTGTTAGGATCACTCCTTCGTCTTCGCTTGTGGAGCCATCAGTTGACCGGTAGTGCCACGTATGTGATAAGCCATTGGAGACTCCGAATTTTAACAGGTCTGATTGATTTGAACTTCTTCCATGGGATTTGTGAGATACGGTCTGCCTCTTGTCCGACTAATTTTGACCATCTACTTCTGATTATGGTTCCGGGCAGTGCTGGGCCGGGATCTGACCGGTTGAGCTACCCTGGTCCAACCGGAGCCGGACCAGCCCAGGGGGGGTGAACCGGGAAACCGGTTCTGAAAAAAAAGCGACCCAATTTTTTTATTTTTTTTTCGGTAGATTCTGACTGCACTCTTCAAGAGCTATCGGAATCCGCAATAAAATTTTCAAGGTGCAATATTTTTCAGGGGGCTTCCAGAGGGGGGCAGGGGGTTATTATAATATGATTGACATAGTCAGGCAACTATGACTTCCACGGGGAGGGGTCAAGTAAGCAAGTTCACTTATCCGACCCCCCCATGGCTGGAGCACTTCGTGGAGTGTGTCATTTGATACCCCACGAGCTGAACCAGATATGATGAGAGGAGGTCCTTGCCAGAAGTTATAGCTCTTCCAGAGTATAACTCGACAGCAGAAGAGTTATGGTTCCAGCTTTCAGCTTGTGGAGGCAGAGCGTTTTCTGTTTGTTGGTTTCTACATAAGGTGAGTTATCAGTCCGGAAGTATTTTGCCTGGCAGTCTGTCCCGATACATGTAGTGGAGCAAGTTCCATTTGAGATAGATAGAGAGAAGAATATAGCTTCAGTCCATTCTTGGGATTGCACCTCGGACGGCTCTGACATCACGATTCCAAAATCCGAACCCATAACTTTTCCCACAGATGGCAGGGACGTCGCAGAAGGATATAATCTCAGCAGAGCCTCAGCACAAGCATAGTGTTCCCCTCGTGGCTGAGAGTGAAAGAGCATCAGATATTGCCAATGGTAACTGGTCCGTAGGACCACAAAATGACAAATTGGAGAAGGGGCCTACCCAACCTACATCTTAAGAAAAATGTGTGGCGGTTCTCCGCTGCTGATCAGCGGCGGATATCCTCTGCCCATTTTTCTTAAGAAATGGGGTTCTGGCCAATCTTTGCCGCTGATCTGCGACAATCGGCGGCCAAGATTGGCCACTTTTTGGACTTCCGGGCCTACAGGACCCGGTTTCGAAATTGCGGGGCAGGGCCGACCCCCATGAGGCCTCGGGAACACATATGCGCCAGCAAAAAAAAAAATTCAGGCCCCAGCAAAAATGCACTGGGGGCAACCGGGAGGGAACCGGCCCGAACCACCGGCCGGTCCAACCGGGAGGACCACGGATGGGGTAGGGGTCCCCGGTCCATCCGGGGACCAGCCTGGTTCCGGGTCCTTAGTCTTAAGGAATAGCTTACAACCCATTTTGACTGAGTACTCCTGGATGTCAGTGTTAATGCTTTTGTTCCTCTCAGATGTCCAGGCCCATTCTGCTGGGTCGAATTCCAGGTCTTGGATTGGGGTGTCTATTCTGAAGATTGATTTGGGCCAGGAACCTGTGACTCTTACTTTCCTGAAGAGGAAAATGTCTAAGCTTGTTCTTTCCACATCTTTATCCAAGATAGATGCAGAGCCATGAGCTGATGTCACGATTGGGTAGGATGTAAACACCGCAACGGTACTCGATCCCAGTTGTTTGTGGGAGAACTGGTATGCTCTCACAGGTGGTGGTTCCTGTATCCGAATTCCCCACTCACCCGTTTTCCCTGTTGGGGTTCCCTTCAGCATCTCAGCAGCTCTTTCCGGCCTTCCGGGATATAGTTGACGACTGTCTGCAGATTCCTATCTCTCCGGTGGCAGCCCATGGGAAGAGGGATAAGATCCTGATCTGTTACCCAGTCGTTTGTCTTTTCATCCCATATGTGAGCGATCTTCCATACTCCCATGTTTTATCCATGATGGCCAACACGTATCTCTTGGTTTAAGAGATAGCGAGTGATCACTTTCATCTCTCACCCACGGATTACCAAAGAGGGGTTGCCTTAGGACTTCTTCCCTGGTCCTAGGTTTGCCCTTTTTTTTTGGCATGATTTCTTGCCAGATCCGTACCAGAGCTGCCCAATACGGTGTAGGCGGGATTGCTCCCTGAGGATTGCCCCCTCGTCGATGGTTTCTGTGTCCTGTTTTCAAGGTCCGTTCCTTATTCATCACCCAGAACAAGCCAGACATGTTTGCTGGTGTAGGTACCGGGGCTAGGCTTCTGATGCTATCCAGTGCTAACTCGTTCCAAGCTGTGCCCTCTTTGGTGAGAAGTTTGATGATCCATTTGATTTGGAGTGCCTAGTTTCCTGTTTGGGGTCTATGATGCCCAGACCTCCTCTGCTGGGTTTCGTTGTGATATAGTGTCATGCTATCTTTGGTATGCAGTTATCTCTGTTAGGGTCCCCTGACCAGAGATAGGATCTTGCTTTACGAGTCAGTTCGTTGATTGATTTGTCTGGCACTGTCCAGATTGACGCTATGTACCACATCATAGAGAAGACAGACGTGTTGATGGTTAGTGAACGCCCGATTAGGGAAGTAAAGGTGTTACCCCATCTTCCCAATTTATTAATTTGTTTGGTCAACACATTCTGGGCCATCTGGGGTGCAAGACCCTCTGTCATCAGGATCCCGAAATATCTTGTGGGTGACTCGGGTGTATCCCAGGTCATAGCCGCTTCTGGGCCTTG